CCCCCCCCCCCCCCCCGTGGCTCCCTGCTGGTCCTGGCCATCGTGGTCTCCATGTTCGGCCACCTGACGGGCTGGTTCCTTGTCTGAGGTCAGAGGTTCGCCTCCCCACACACCCAGGAACGGCCCCCAGCCATGGAGCTGGCCTCTCCCCATGGTAGAATGAGAATCTGGTGGAAAAGACCCGGCTACCAACAGGATCTGCCGGGACAGCAGGCCAGCCCTTGGCAAGGGAAGAGGCCGATGGGCAGGTCAGGGTGTATCTGAGCAGATGTAGATCAGGTGCAGGGAGGAGTCAAGCAGACCTGGGTTTGCTCTGTGGGCCTTCTCCTAGGATCCCCCCGAAGGGAGCATCTTGTTCCTTGGCTGAACTGTGACCACAGGGGAGCTGGGAGTCAGGCTCAGAGGGGAAGTAAAGCCAACTATCACAAATATTGGGGTGGTGGGTAGCAATGTATCTAAATCTGAAGGGAGGAGATGTAGAAAATTGATAAGGGAAGCAAAAGGCAGGAAGGCCACGTCGCTGGCCCACAGTGTTAAAGACAATTAAGGAGCTGTTTTAAACATAGATTAGGAGCACAAAGAGCTCTGCCATTGCTATGGGGACATTGTAGATGGAGAGGGTAGAAATTTCAGTGCTGCCACGAAGGGAGAATCTTTCCTTAAATATTTCTTGTGTCTGCGCGTGGAAAAAGTACACCGATGATGTTGCCTGAGCAGGTGATGATGGTGGGCAAGCTCTCGGTTCTTCTCTTGACTCAAGTGAAAGTAAAATAGCAGGTACAAAAGGAAATCACCAAGAGTTTGAAAAGAGCTGGCCGAGGCATCCAGAGCCCTCTTTGGGCTGAGAAAGCTAACCTTGGGCCAATGTTTTAAATGGGATTTGGGGATCTCCCAACTAATTGTGGACCTGTCGTCCTGACATCAAGCCCGGGGGGATAATGGGAGGGCAAATCCGTGCTTCAATTAATACAAATTAAAGGAAAGTGCCATGATTCCTCAGCATGGGAGTATGGGGACTCGCCCCCTCACACTGACCAGCTGGGCTCTTTTGCTGCGATGCCCTGTTTGGCTGAGGAAGGTCACGGGGCAGAGGCAATGACGCTTGGGGAGGGACGCCAGCTGGGATCACTCGGCTGTTGGCTGGCAGCTGGGTTGAGTGGTTAGAGCCCATCGCCCTTCCCTTGGCCTGCTCCCCCCCCCATGGCAGCCACAGAGCCC